TGGTCGAAGCACTGACATTATTGACATTGACATAGTCATGGTAGACGATGCCCTGATACCTGACTTACCTGAACTCCTGAACATTTACAGGGTTCGGATCAACAGCCAAGAGATTACCAAGATCAAGATCGACGTCAAGAGCTTTGACCACTTCAGTCGTTTTGAATCGCTTCTCTTGAAGTTCCGCTTGTTTTAAGACATTTTCAACAATCTGTTGTGACTCCCCCGTCGCCATCTTGGTATAGCTGGCGCACGTGTGACCTTCTTGTGCGTCATAATTAGGAAAATCCATCCATGTAAAGCTTTGAAATACAAGTCTCTACAGCTCTTAGTGCTGGAGTGCAAAATAAGAATTACCCTCTAATTTCGTGGAAGTGACTTGGATTGTTTCTTCTTTAACTAACTAAGGTTAAAGTCGTTTTTAATTTGGGAAATCGATCAATAAATGTACATCATCCGAAAACATGTTTCATCTCCGCCGTTAAGATTAGGAACGAACGACTATTAGCAAGTTTAGTAAGATGTGGTGCCACCCTTTAAAGGTTGGAGTATATCGCCGTACCCATAATGCACTCGAAAGATCGGCCTTTTGCAGCCGATCGTCAAAATGGTACGTTGACCGTGAAAGAGTCAACATAAAAATCGTGTAAAATCAACGCCATCCTGGGTGTTTAAATCCTGAAAATACGTGTGATTAAAAAGCTGTGCTTTCCATTTATTGTTTGTCTTTTTTACGTGTAGGGTATCGATTTGGACCACTCAAAGGAGCGGCGGGTTCGTAGGACCGAACCGAAGAGTCGGGATATTTATCTCAGACTGCTGGTGAAGGTGTGTTGACTGTATGGTCTTGCATGTTGATTAAACTGGAGCTTGAATTTTAACGCCAAAAACCCTGAATCTTACTAAAATTAAGAAAGATTTTACCCTAATACACCTTGCAAAATCAGTTTGGAATAGCAAAATCTTCAAAAATAACTGTCCAGTCCAGTTATGTCAGTTCATGGGTCAGTTGTGTTTAGAAAAATCATGCTTGACACAATCTGTCATGTCTGCCCTAATCAGGCCTGGCCTAACTGTTAATGTGATCGTGCAGGAAGGGGCATGGTGGGGAAATGAATAGTAAAAAACAGGCATGGCATGCATTCTTGAACTTGAATTTTGTCAGCTTAGCTTGCTGGACAATGGAATTATAGGCATAGAGGCACACATCACACAACTTGGAGATTGTCCTTGTATTTGGAAAAGTCCCTTTATTCGAGGACAAAATCGGTCATGTTTTTTTTTTAATCACGCTTTTGCAGTAAATGACCTAATGTGAACCCCGCTTTTTCAATCAAATTATCCTGTGAGGTACCAATTGTTCTTAAAAACAATTGTACGATAGTTTCAGATCAAATCCATCATCAGTAATCTCTTTTTTTTCACCAGACGACGATCGCACCATTTGTGTTTATTACAGTGTGCATGTTTCTGGCCAATGGCCAAGCTTGCTTCACATGTTGGTTTGACCATTTTCAGAGGTGGGGGGGACGACTGTCCTTGCTTTGTGACTTGCAAGCTAATACCATCAGAATGTGTATCATGAGCTGGGCTGTGTAGCTGTGACATATTGTAAGCTGTTACAAATCCCTCGACTTATGTGCTAGGCAGTGGCAATCTTATTTTTCCCCAAACAAGCAAATCAATTGAAAAAATCCTTCGTAACATTGTTAGTAGCATGCTTGTTCATTGTTTAGAAGTTTTGAGTTTAAGAAACGATTATTGTCTTAACGGAGCATTGGGCGTCAATTTTAATCATGCAGTCTTGTGTTTTCAGCTGTATCGCTTCCTGGCTCGCCGTACCAACTCCAGGTTTAACAAAGTGGTGCTGCGACGTCTGTTCATGAGCCGAGCCAATCGCCAACCCCTATCCCTGGCAAGACTGGTACGTAGAAATACACAGAAATTTCCTGCTTTAAATTGCACCCTGACGCCTGCCGACACTCTCTTAATTTCCTCTCTGAAAGATAGTTCAAGGGTGCAAGTTCTTCCCAGGGTTTGAAGCACTTTCTTGTGTTTGTGTGTTTTTTCTTTTTTTTCTTTTTTTTCTTTTTCAAGTAAAAGTTCCTTTCTTATCAATGTATGGAAGATTTTATACTTTGAGATGAAGCCTGAATTAATTTAGCACCTGCCCTATGCAACTGACATAGTGCAAAAATGGGGGGGGTTCTGTTTAGCAGAGATATTTTGCATGCTTGCCGCTCAGTGTGCTGTTGAGGTGACGGTGGCCACTTCCACAAACTACTTACAGTTGTTTGAATGTGTTTTTGATGGACGTAGGTTCGTAAGATGAAATATGAAGGACGCGAAGGCAAGACAGCAGTCGTGATTGGAACTGTTACCGATGATCTGCGCATCTACGATTTGCCCAAGATCAAAGTTAGTCTGACAAGCTTCATTTTTTTTATGTAGTAGGCTGATATGTTCCTAATTGTAGGCTAGCATGTACCAGCCTTGTGTCATATGATTTCAGGGTTCTAGTGGAAAAATATTCTCTTGTTAAAAGTCAGTGTTAATTTTGGAGAGTGTTTATTGATTGCAGGAGGCTGTTCTTGTCATTGGCATTTAGTGTTGTATACAATTTAATTTCAAACTGAGGATATAGGTGCACATGTCTGCTTGAAGTCCAGTGTACATTATTATTGTGGGATGGTAGCATTCCTTTTTTATACTGATGGACACTCAGTGATAGAAGGAGCTAAATCCAAGTTAAGAAAGTCACCTGGCAAACTTTGTAAAATGTTGTTTTTGTTCCTCGTTAACCAGTGATGTGTTTTGATAACGCAGGGCGGTCTTTCATAATTCTTTTGTAAGCACAAACCAAGAGTCTACTATGTTGTTTGTCTTGTCTTTGTCTCTCCAGCTGTGCGCCCTGCACGTGACAGCACGAGCCCGGGCAAGAATCATCAAGGCAGGGGGTGAGATCATGACACTGGACCAGCTTGCTCTCAAGGCACCTAAAGGCCAGAACACGGTCCTCCTGCAAGGTATGTTGACAACCAGCTGAGCTAGACACCATCCCCAAAGCAAATTCAGTAAGGTGTTTGTTCGACCAGTTTATTCCCAGCACACTCCTGTGCTAATCTTTGCGGACCCTCACATACCTGCTGACATTGAAAAGTTAGAAATCAGAACACCTATTTTCCGAGACCATATTAAAACAATCAGCCCGGCAAGAGAAGGTATCCACATGTACACACATATGTGTTTGTAAACAACTGGAAGTTTGACCCAAATAGTGCCCTCTTGTTTCTGCAATAGCGCCCTCTTTTACCAGGACTTAATTATTTATTTACTGGAAATCAGAATGTTCCAATTTGGGGGTGGTCTGAAAACTTGAAATCAAGACAATTCCTATTAAATTGGAAAGATTGCCAGGTAAGCCCTCATCTTGCTTGGCTGTTTCCAAGGCCTTGTGAATGGCGACTTCTTGAAGAGTGGGAAAAAAAAATAGACATTTCTCTGTTAGGCTAATCTGAGTGTTACAGAATATTAAACTGAAGCTCCTGTGAAGGAATATCTTTGTTCATAGTTTTACCTGAAAGGGGAATGATATTACATGGATGTATCAACGACTGCAGTTTGATTGTGGTTGTCAGGGTTACCAAACAAACAAACTTCCATGGTAGCATTCTGAAACTGATAGATGTACTGGCCATTCTGATGTTAGAGTCAGCAGTAGAATTGCTGTTGAAGGTGTGATTGATTTGATTTCTTGATATTATAGGGCCACGCAAGGCAAGGGAAGTATACAGACACTTCGGCAAGGCACCAGGAACCCCCCACGCTCACACCAAGTAAGTGTAGAGCTGTCAATTCAGACATGCATCTTATTCAGTGAAAAATGCACTGCAGGCAATAGCCAACGAAAACCAAACACAAAAAGCAGATGTTCCGAAAAAGCTTGAAACATGGTGAAAATTTCCTGTTTGTCTTGAAGTTTTGTTTTCAATAATTTGTCACAAGGAGTGTTTGCCCATGAATGTTTGAAAAAGACGCCGTCAGTTGTGGTCCTTGCTTTATCTTTGGGACAAAGTTGAATAATTGGTAGCCACTAGGCATGAATAGGTGACATGGCAATGATCAGTAGTGAAGTAACCTCAATAAAGTTATAAGAAAGTTCATGTTATGTTTATGAGGTTTTCATGATGTTACTGTTTCCCCATAAGGCACTGCTCATGCACTCTGTTTTAAAATGTTGATTTCTTTGTCCTTCTGCAGGCCATACGTGCGCTCAAAGGGAAGGAAGTTTGAGCGGGCTCGTGGAAAGCGTTCCAGCCGAGGATACAAGAACTAGTCAGCCTTTCAAATAACCAACAAAGCATCATTATTATGGAAATCTCCCGAAATCAAAGTAGTTACTATGTGCTCATCACAATCTGAACATCTGTAACAAAGTCTTGAAAACAAAAGTTCAGTTGCAACCAGCGGAACACAGTTTTGGGTTTCTTTTCTCATTAAAAGTGCCATTTACTCTTTCAAATTACCAAGGTTTTAGATAAAGCAGTTCAGAGAAACTAAAATGATGCATTTCAAGTACTTTCTTGAGCTGTGTGGGGAGGTTGAGCATTATTGTGTGTTACCCATGCATCTACCCTTGCTGTGAGCAGAACCATTGATAATAAAAAGAAGTTGGCAGAAGGTATTAATTGTGTCCGTGTCTTTAATTATTTGTGTTTCTTCCAAGAATTGAGCTTGTAATTTGCTTTTATGATGAGAGAAAATGTACACTGACGGCGAAGGGATCTCTCAAAGGAAATTAATATTTGGCTTGTGTGCCCGGATTGCCTTCATACTGTGGTATCACACAAGCCCAAATTTGATAACCTTGTAAATACATGTACACGCATTAGTCAACTTAAAAAAAAAATTGAACATGAAAAACAACAAATGAATTGTGGATCAAAATGAGTATAATCAGCAAGTCTAGCCAAATGAAGAAAACCACTTCGGAGATGCAAAGTTTGTTGGCCATTTTGCCCAGAGGAAAGTTTTTAGTGAAAAGTTCCTTCTGGTTGAAGTTAGGCCACGCCTACACTAGACGTCATGCCGGGTCACCTTCGGTGACGTCGCGATCGAGCGTGGTCGCACCATGGGGGCCGGGAAAAACGAAGTGTTTTTTCCCCATCTACTTGTACGCTCCTTCCTTAGTAACACAACCAACTTTACACGAAAATTGAAATTGGACCCAGCATACTATTATGTGTGCGACGGCGTTCCATAGATCTGGACGCGAAAAACATAGTGACTTTGTTTCCGGGTACGTACAGCAGGCGAAATGGTGTAGCTTTTTCAGTGAGAAGTTGTTCTGGAAGACATATATTTAGTTGCTAGAGCCTAGGCCCACTTGGTGTTTAACATGAGTTCCAACGGCAAACATGGTGTCCCTAAGGGACTAAACAAAGAAAAGCTGTGCCAAAAACTTACAGAAGAAATCACTAAACTAAAAGAAAAGTCGTGTGGACGTGGCCTGTCTAATGCAGAAGTTGTCGACTTTCTCACCCGTTTAAGACATCCTCGGCGTGAACCCGCTGGCATCGGAGCGAAGGTTCGGTGGCTTGCACTTACCGTCTTCTTCCCTATCGCAGTAGGACTCCTGCTCATCTACGCTCGTCACGAGATCGTTGCATACTTCGTCGAGGACCCTTGCCTGATCGGCAGCAATTTTATCCTGTCCGAGGTGGGCAGGCCATTGGCGTCGTGCGAGCTGTGTCGCAACCTGACGGCTGTGCCGGTGTACGACACGATCACACCGGCTGAGTTTGTGGCCAAGCACGCTTACAACATCCGACCGGCTCTCATCACCGGGGCTACTACGACGTGGACTGCCATGGAGACGTTTAGCTTCAATTACTTCAAGGAACTCTATACAAGCCACCCCGAAGCTTTGCAGGCGGTCGAGGAGGAATGTCAGTTTTTCCCGTACAACACGGAGTTTACATCACTGGAAGAAGCCTTCAAAATGTCTCCGGAAAGAGCAGCTCTCAAAGAAGGGGAGAGAAATTGGTATTTTGGCTGGTAAGTATAGGCCTAACTTACCTGAAGGTTACTACGAAACATCTTTTGAAAGCAGAAAGTGAGGAACAAAATTAAGTAAACTTTGTTCAGATCAGTTTCCAGTGTGGAGACAATTATAAGTACAAATGTGTGGCCTGAAAAAAATTTGTTTATTAAGCCAATTTTTTTGTTGGGGGAGTGAGATGTTTTTGAGCAAAGTGCAAGAATGAGGCAGTGTGCCAGTTTGACTTTATTTCCTGTTTTTTTAATTGCCAGGAGCAATTGTGATCCCCTGGTGGCTGCCGAGCTTCGCCGGCATTACCAGAGACCCTACTTTCTGCCAGACAGCTCTGAGTCTAGTGCTCTGGATTGGATATTCATGGGAGGGGCAGGCAGAGGAGCTGGAATCCATGTAGGTCTAATCACGGAGCTATTAAACACATTGCCTATTTGGCGCTGTTCTGCAGATGCTGCGTGCATGAGCCGAGGTTTTTGCACTACAGAGAAAATATCTGCTATAGTCAATGCTATACATACACCTGGAAAAGTTTTATGCACATTAAATTTACTGAACAGTATTTAATACAAAATCTGCCAAGGTGCCATTTCCACCGTGCTTTGTGTAGTAAATATAGGTTCGCTTACATTTATTTTTGTGTGAGCAAACACAAGTCGTGAATCTGTCACATACAGTGTACATTGTACATTGTTGTACGTGGCGTGACTTTATGGCCATGATCAACGGATATTCCTATTAAATATAATTGGCAAGCAAGTATTTTTGTGCTAAGTTTGATTTCTCTAATTAGGCTTGCCCATATTATCCAGTTTAGGACATTTTGAGGACTTGTTAATGCACAACTGTGCTCGTATCTTTTACAACCAAGTTGAAAGTTGAACTTCAGCACCACGTAATCCGACACCATATCTCGAGCTGTACTTCCTTGAAATAACTAGACACACATGCAAAACACTGGATGATATATTTACCGTTTATGTGTGCAGCGACTATCATGCTCCTGAAGTTAAAAAGAAAGTTCATGACATGTTTTTCAACTTCAGAATCATTGTTCATGGTGTTGTCAATATTATATTGGACTGTTTTTATGCAACACCCCATAACAACAGGTGGATTAGTTATGACCAGTTTACTTGTACAGTTAATGGAAATCCCTAAAGTGCAGACTTGAAGGAAAAACAAGCGATTCTCATGAAACATCATTGCACTCTCTGCTCAAAAAAACTGTGATAATCTCTCCGCTGACTTTCCCCACCTTTAGACCTACAGGTACCATATACAGAGCTGAAAAAGAGAATCATGTTGAAAATGCAGTGATGCAGGACCTGTGAAACACCAGGGTTTCTGTAGCCATAATTGTTGTCAAAATGACTTTCCACTTGACTGTACACTGCAACAGTTCTAACTCATAACCACTGCGGCATTTGGTTGCATAAATGCGTCAACATGATGTTGCATTTCTGTAGCTAGACAACGTGGCCAAACCGTCGTGGCAAGCTCAGTTATCCGGCAGGAAGACGTGGACGCTGATTCCATTACCGGAGTGTGAAGATATCTGCCACACACTGAAGGTGACGGTCAACACAGGCGATATCAGTAAGTGAGAACCAGGAAGCAAAGTGGATATTAATCTTCATTTGTATGCATGAATGTATTTGATTTTAAACAGGGAAGAAAAGATATTAATTCATGTACACGTATGTGACACTCCAGTTAAAAAAAGAAAAAACAAATTCTGCTAATGTTGCCCAAAGGAAGATTGCAGAATTTTCAAAGCAGGCAGTGTCCAATGAATGAAGTAAACATTCACTTTTGAAGTTATTTTTCATGCCCATTAGCAGACTGGATACAGAAACTGAGATGTGTCCAGCTGTGTACACTGTTGGTCGTAAATTTCGTAACCACTTTTTCCGAAACACACACTACAATAGTCACTATAGTTCGATCAGTGGAGACTACATTAAAAACTGGCTGAAAACTTTTTTTAATTTGTCCAAAATGTTTTTCTTTGAATGATAACCAGTTGTCCTGGATACCAATCAGTGGTACCACACCACGCAAATCCATCCAGGTAAAATCAGCATCACCATCGGCTCCGAGTTTGACTGAAGACTGGTGCCCAAGCATCTTGGACAACTCAGCCCTGCTTCCTACCACAGTCTGCTGCTTGCCATTGGCATGGATTCCTGCTAGCTGCCGTAATATTTATCTGTCTTTGTCTTTGCAGCCATCTCCGTTTGTACTGGACGGTTTGAAGTAGTACACAGTAAAGAAATTTGCTAAGCTCAGAAAATGTTTCCGTTGCAAAAAAGGTTACCAGCCAAGGTTCCATGCAAAATATCTTGAGATACTCAAGACTGCTTGTCTGCTAATTTTCACCACCTTTTTTTCAATATTAAACAGAAATACATAGACTCTCGTGAAACGAATGTAGATTATGCTCAGTTCAGGCTAAACAACACATCTGTGAAAAATGGTGACAATTTATCACCAGTCCCCAAAGCTGCATATTCCTATGTGGATTGTCACATCTTCCACTTAAAACCCTTTTGGCATATTTACTCCGCACTTTACTAACTGAGCCCTAATATCCATGTCATCTTTGGTCTAAGGTGCCCAGTTATGGTTTCCAGTTTCCATATTTTTTTTGTTTTTGGTTCATTTTTTTCCCTGTCTTATCCACCTGTGTTTGTTTTGGAATAGTAAATTGCCAGCCACACCATTAAGTGTTGGCTTCTGGTGGGACTCCACAGTGGGTCCGTCCTGGGGAGAAGAGAGCAGCACTGCAGTATTGCGACCCTGCTGGCTGACGACAGAAAACCTCAATAAATTGATTTTAACACAACCACTTAAGCTTGTCCAACATCCGTTGATTGCACGTGGCAACAGACATTGTAAAGCCCATAGGGAAATCTGCACTTTACCCAAGTTGACTTATCTCCCCAGTCCATTAATGTACTTCGCATTTCTGAAATGTGTGCGTATGATTGGGCAGTTAAATAGTGGTCCCTATTGACATTATACTAAAATGGGAACAGACATGTATAATGGTCAAACCATGGTCGAACAGACTTACTGAAATTGAGAAATTATAATGCAAAGCAAGATGTTGGAACAGACTGTCTGTACTAACTCTGTATTTTCCTACAGAAACTGTGTTAAGCAAATGGCACATTGTATCTCATTATTGTTGCTTGTAAACCTTGTCATTTGTTTGTGCATTATGTTCAGTTGAAGTAACAAAAGCGCTCAGAATCTACAAAAAGGTGGAGCCTGAGCTCAGTGAATGCTGTACATTCCAAGAAAAACAATATACTAAGATTCCGATTTCAAATCAGAGGCTGCAGAGTCATCCGTTGTACCCAAATTCAGCATCCGGGATACGCTCTCATTCAGCCAATTGCAGCTACATGATTATCCCCACTAAACCAATGAACTGTAGCAACCCCGTGCACTGTGCATCTTGTCAATGCTTCCATGCACTTCCCACCTATAAAAATTAACTGCCACTACCGACAGCAGTTTCCAAAGTGTGTCTGTAGACACATCACTGGAAATGGCCTTTTATTGATTTCATCTGTAAATGACAGCTTGCTTGAAAGAAATGCATCTTTAAACCAAGTATGCTTTATAAGAGTAATTTCATCAGCTACTTTATGGAAAGCTGCAAATGTGACACTACTTTTAATTGTACTTTATTACAACTTATGAAGTCATGTACATGTATACTCTCTTTGTTGAATGTGCAGAATTAGAGCCGCAGGCTCTAGTGACTGGAGCAATTTTAGAGGACAGAGCACTGCCAAGAGATGTGACAATCAAGCTAGACTTTTGGGGGAGGGGGCGCAGTGCATTATGGGAAAGGTCAATAACTTCCTGAACTGTTGGAGTGTATGCATTTTCCACCTTCTCTGAAATTACATAGTTGTGTGAAGACTTTCAGAACAGGTGCTTCTATTTTGTATTAAATGTGTGTTGGTTGCTTGTGCCTGAAAGGTGCATACGTGTAGATAACACTGGACTATTCACAGTTTATTGGCATACATGTAAACATTGAAAATTAAAGTATTTTTCTTTCCAATTGATGGCCAAGTTGTTAGCTTGATGAACACTACTTGTTTTAGGGGTTCATGTTGCCACTTTCAGAAGGCTGCGACACCATTGTTACACCAAAGAGCAAATCAGTAGGACAAAATACACTTAGTTTCAATAAAGTAAAGCTACATTCAAAGACTGACAAAAGCAGTCATGTGATACATATAAAAACTGAAAATGAGTTTATAACTACCTTTATTTAAAATTCTATTCATACGAACAGTCACCATACAAAAATGCAGTAACAAAAAAGAAAAACTATACTTAATGTACCAGTGCAATCAAATGCAATCTTTTTATTGTTTGCAGTTCATCAAAGCTACGCACTTTAAAGTCTATCGCCATTGCAGTTCAAATATTTGACTGTGTACAGATGCATCCCGCTGCACACACTCTGTATTCTCAGAGAACCACCATGGCGAAACATTGGTGGGTGTGTGGCTTCTCGTAAGGTCTCATTAATTTGGCATTTGGCTACGTGTGAGGTATGAATTGATGGTCACTGAGTAATTGATGTCAGAAGTTGATGATGGGAATCACAAGATGGATACCAACACAATGCAGTCTGATGCTGACCTGAGTGAATTGGACAGAAGGGATCAGAGCCACAGTGATCTACAGAACTGAAAATAGCAGCTGAAAAGCCTGATGTCAGGAAGCTTTCAAAAGCTACCACCCCCCCAAAAAGCACCGTGTGCAGAGGGCCATTTTCACAAAGTATCCAGTATTTCACAGTGATTAATGCACTGTACAATTTACCTTGCTTGTGCTTGTCTTTTTTTTCCATTTTTAGCAAAATCTTCACTGCAGTTATTTTTCTTTCCCATCTATACCTGCAACCCATTTTTGTAACAGCTTTGCCCTTTTGTCTACTTTGGCGAAATTCATTGAACTCAATTCCCTGTCACATCAAATAAAACTCACTTGCACCTCCAAGCAGTAACTCAAAGTAATTTCCCGACTGACAGGATTAGTCCAAAACATACAAAATTAATTCATATGTATCACAAAAAACCCTTGACACTGCATGAAGAATGCAATATTACCGAAAATGAAAATTTTCAATCAACTGGTCCCTAAACATTAAAAAGCAAAGAATGACCAAAGCCAACATTGGGTAAAGATACACATAAATCAAGAATCAAGTCATCGTTTAAAATCAAAGCATTCATTTTATTCATCAGTTGTCGCCAATGGTTAAGACTAATTCATAAAACGCTGATGTGTAATACCATGACAACCATGTACGTGGGCAAGCAGTCATGTCGGTGCATTTTGTCCATGCGGTAATTCACGTGTGACCATGAATGCATTTCAGGCACCACTTATCTGATCTTCTATCTTCCCTGACATTAGTGCAAAGGCATCTTCCCTGATAATTATCTCCAAGTCTTCCCGCTTGCAGTTCACTACGGCACAAAAGCTAAAAGATGGATTCTGAAATGGGTCTTATGTCTCCTGCCAAAAAAGGGAAGATTGTTAAAAGGGGGAGCAAATGAAAGAGCAAGAGGATTGAAAAGGAAAGGTGACAGGAAGAACAGCACAATTTGCCTGAAAGCTCCCCCTTCCAGCTGAAAAAAAATCCTGGTGACACCCATGCCACTCACAAACAGTACAGCACACCTAACTTTTCCAAAGCCTGTATTTAAAGTCAAGTCTACAAATGAAATTATGATTAGTAATGGTTTATTTCAAGTAAATGTACATGAATGAACAAATAAATAGACCTTGGTCAAATACGACCCATATGCATAATTGTTACTACTGTTAGTTAAATTCTGTTAAGAAATTAGACGAGCGTCACTCACATTAGTTTGAAGTAGGTACATGTGCATGGATAGGTACTGTTTACTGATTAACAATCTAAGATGCTCTTCAATTAAATATACGCATATTACAAACAAGTCTTTTGCAGTTTGCCCCTGTAAAACAAGTTGTTCCACGTTCAGGCCAAATGCTAGACTTCGGGTTTGGATTTTAGGAAATGAAAAGGCAACTTAAGTGGAAAGTGAAATGTGTAACAACCAAATTTTAAAGAAAACGGTAAGATAATGAGGTGACATCAATTTCAACTACTCAAGAAATGGACAGATGCTAGATTTTCCTCATGGTCCCAAAATAAAATCAGCAGTTGACATGGACACACACTTGACAAATTCTGCACGATTTCAGCCGGTGATTTTTGTGCTGAAATGGTAGACTACATGGCGGCAAGCAGTGTTTGGGATCAGGCAAGAGCAAATACCATGAGGCACTTATCCAAGCACGCACACCCTCAAGTGCCGGCTTTGGAGACAATGTCTGATAACGTTGGGAGATACCAGGGAAGGTTTCATTTAATCAACCCACCATGAGCTTGGTGAGTCCCAAGGAAATGACTGATGCCCGTTGACACAACCGCTACTTCAACATCATTTCTCCTTCCTGCATTGCATTTCACAAAGCACTTGCATGTAGATAGTCTTAACTCAGTTGCAACACACAATATGTCTCAATTTACAATGCAAATTTAACACGAGCTGATTCGCAGAACTTCAAGATGTCTGGAATCTACTGTATTATCCTTCACAACCACACAAAAGTGTCTTTGGCATCACTGAAACACAAGATGGATCACTTTGGAACCAGTTTGGGGACACGGCAATCAAAATCAAAATGTGGATGGACTACATTTGAAAATAGCCCTGCTTACATTACGTAAACACCGTTTCTGAAATACATAGACATTTTGCAAGCTCTTTCACATTTTTGACGCAGTTTATGTTCGCATTAAAAATCTACCAGCCTATTGTATGATGGATTCCAAGTTGGTCATTGGGTGAAGGTGCGGCTAGGTCATTGGACCAACTCTTATGCATTCCTAATTTAAGAGGCAGTTGTGAAAATAATTGCTACGTTAGTCAGTGACAAAAACTGGAAACGCAGAACTTTGCAGATTGGTTTTTTGGGGGGAGGTGCCAATAAAACATCACAGAGAAAAGCCATCAGTATCCCATTTGGTACTTTTATTCAAATTTCCAAATGTAAAATGTGGACAACAACAGTTTTGCTTTGCTGAAGGCCCAAAGCAAAAAGCATATACACTTAAAAGAAAAAAATCATCTAGTCTTGCTTGTTTTTAAAAGTAATACATGTTGCTGTGCCATATATGCCTTCTGATCACTGAGTGTCATTTACATGTACAAGTACCTGGCAATGCAACCAAGTGTCAACTGCACTGTAACAATAAATCCCATTACACTTCCAACATACATTAAACAAATTAACTGAGGGATAAAAGACCAAAGGACAAAAGAATACCCATCAGTGACCGATGTACATGTACATGAATTATTTAGCGCAGAAAAGATTCAATAAATAACGCTGATGACAATGTCACGCAAGTTTATTCTTCAGAAATGCAGCCGTGTAAGTATGATGGTCACTGCAGTGACATGTATCCAGGTGTACATGTACGTATGAATCCTTCGGCAAGTTCTTATATCAACCTTTTTCTATGTATCTCCTCATCGATATTATTTATGCATAAATATAGCAACAAAACAGGAAGCGCTTTGGGGAAGCTCCTGTTGTACATGCACTTCTGATCCAAGTTTAGTGGTTGACTTAGGAACTGCATACACCAGGATGGATTTAGATCGCAAGCCCTCAGGATATACCTAAGAATCTTACATACATGTATATGGGTAATAGCATGCTAATGTTATTTGAGACGTGGTCCGACAAATTGAGTCTTGATTTTTTTGTTTTTCTCAAAACATCTGAATGCTTCCTGTACATGCAATGGGAAAAAAAATGGGATATCTTCACTTCCGCATCTCATCTAGACAGGCATATCCTGATAAATGTAGACATTACAATTTAGGTGACCACGTTGACAGTTCCTAGTAACTTCTACGGTACAAGACTTTTTTGTAAGAGCTCGTAACTTTGTAAGTAGTTATTGTGACTCACTTTGATAAGTTAAGTCACAATATGTGTGCCTCTACATGATGTCTGTCGGCCTGTCAGTCAAGTACATGTAGGCGTGGCTGTGCTGATCCCTACCATGCTGTCTGCTGCATTACAGCCATCCCTTGGCAGGCTCTAAAAACCAAAAAGGGGAAATATTTACAGCATTCAGCTCTCAACTTCCTACCAAGAGACCCTGCAGCGTGTTCCTACAGCACAAAACAATGATCCTCTTATTTTTTTACAGTCAGCATTCAGAAGTCCTTCAACAAAACCTTGAATTTTCAGTATTCAGCACTAAGTCTTTTTTGTTCAGACTAGCCACAATGGAACTTACAAGAAGTGTAATCACTTAAACAAAAATTGTGAATACAAAAAAAGCCAAAAAAAAAACCAAAACCACCAGTAACACAAGCATATCTCTCTGAACCAACACAGGAACTACACAAACATCGTGGCAAAGGCCGGCACAACATGTTTATAATGTACTGCTATTCTACATGTGTAGAGTATCCATATAAGTCGATTAATACAATGAAAACCAAAAAACACAAATATAATATACTAAAGTAAAAAAGGCCCCCCCAATTTTTTTTTTTATATCTGGAATCTTGATTTCCACTTGAGTGCCAACTTCATGCTTGGGTACTCCCTTTACATGAGTGCCATTGCCCTCATGCTGCCACAGCCCATGCAAAGATGCCATGTGATCATTGGATCATTCAGCTGATGAGTTGATTGCATGTACATCTACATATGTGTGCATAAACCGGTGCTCATGCATGTGAGCACCAGTGAACAGGCCACTCGAGCATCATCTACTGCTTCTGCATTATGGTCCATTGGGGCTCATCAGTCATGATTGTATCACACAAGGGTTGATAAAGGAGAATGCCCCATGTGGCAATATTGTACTCATCATTAGAGAAACATGTCCGACACAAGGACAATGTACATGTACATGTGTAACATGTTGAACAGAATGTTGTAAGTAGGACCTACATTTGTACACTGGGCACACTACTCAATATGATGGACAATCCAATGCTACTAAACATGTACATGTAAGAGACACAGACCACTAGAATTACACAAATGATTGGCAACAATGGTTGGTTCTAAGCACATAATGCCAAGTTTGCGGTGTCATGTTGCTGTTCATATAAATTCAGAGTAGCACTTTAAACATGCAATCAGTGAAGGTCAAAATATATCAATTTACAATGCTAAATGTTAAATTCCTCTGCTGTTGGTAGGTTCTGCACTTGATGCTGCATTTGATATATATTGGATTCTAATCAGCCAATGAGATTCTACAGTCCAATACCACAATGTAACTAAATGGGATAAGAGTGAAAGGAGCATGTGCCATCCCTTACAGCCCCTCACCCCATATTCCCCTGCATCAATTTTGGAGAACACAGACTACGTGTATGGCTCTGTATTGTTTGCACAGTACATGTACATACAATAACACAAAAACCCATTAATGCCTTCTCCACTGGATCAAAGTTCTATACAGTCAGTCAATCCTCAACCTCCATAGCTGTTCCCATGCAAATGTACACCTACAATTGTTCTCCCACTATCAGGTATTATAGGAATATAATTGTGCGATCTTTCAGACGAATCCTGCGGCATTTCACCGGCCATTCCCAACGGCCCCCTTGATATGGCAGAAAGCATTGTGTTGGGTTTTGTACAGAGTGACTGCCATGGAACAGTGGTTACATACAATCGTTCTTCTGACTCTGGTGCAGGCCACTGTCAATTACTGGTGTTAGTGTTGCCATGGTCACTGAACTCATATACATGTATATTATGGCAATTACCATTACATGTGTGAAAAGAAACTTCAATGCAGTGGTGTATCCACATTCTGACTTGGGAGGGGGACAAAGTGGAAACTTTTTCTGAAACTGTCCAATTTTTTGCTCCAACCATGAAGGAAAAACTCCCCTCCTCTCTCAGAGGAAGGCACTGCTACTGTTCGTAACATGTTGCTACTATCATTTCCTTAAAAAAAGAATTAACCGTCCCAAGGGGATCAACTCCCTTCCCCGGCCCTTCACCAAGCTGGCTACACCACTGCTTCACTGCCAGACATCCCACTAAGTGAGAAGACCAGAAAGCCTAGCGATGAACATCAAGTCATCAGTGACAGAGAATGAGCTGGTATTACTGCCGTAAAAAAAAAGAAAAGAGAAACTAAATTTGCATCTCTCCAACTCAAGATTCCCTCGAAATTGCTTCTATTTTTGCTGTGGCAAGCTCACTGGTTGAGCAGTCACGATGTCAGCACTCAGCACTCATACGCAGGAGGTCATTCCACCCAGGTAAGACTGTGGTTTTTTTTATCTTGGGTTCTCAAGGGGCACTGAGTATACAATGCTTCTGAAATTACACCACTGATTGGCAAAATCCAATATGTCACCCGATAACACACAATGAATCCATTTTTTGTCCTCAATAAGCTCACTTTACATGCAGTCTGCATATAACAGAGCGCCAACTTAACGTGCCATTTTCAAGCATGGCTCAGCTTGGCATCCTGATAAAAATGAACAGACTGAGTTGTGAAAAATGCTATTAAAGTATATTTACATCCTTCCCTAAGCTCTCTTAGGGAACATGATACATTTTATTTAAGGAGATCAAACTTATCCACTTCGGGATGGAGGATGTGAGCCACATTTATGTTACTCAAAGACTTACTTCAGCTTTTGTCTGATTTCAAGGCTGTGCCTGCCCTTGGGCCTGAATCTGAAAAAATAACAAAAGAAATCCCCTCAACTCAAAAACAAAACAACAAAAGCAACAGAAACTGAAACGAAAAAAGGGGATTTTGATAAACAGCATGGCACTGTGTATGGCCTTGCCTTGCCTTCGGGTACTCCTGGAAAATATTTTCTGTGAAGTAAAACTCACACTTAACGGTCAGAAATAAAAGAGACACGCCAAACGGATGGTTGAAATGTTAAATGTCACATTAGTCGGCACAGAGCTTGATGGTATCTGGAGGTCAACTATTAGGCATGGCAGGTACCTCCATTAGATTAAAGCTGAGTGAATTTGTGCCTAACACAATCAACTGCCGTGGAAAATGGCAGCCTCAAAAAAGAAAGAGATACAGGCATGATGGCCCCCATTACAACTTGTGGCAATCTGGTAAAAGAGTGCAGTTTCTGATGCGGTCACAACTGTCCTGTCCATGTGATTCAATGCCATCCATTAAAGAGGATGTAAGAAATTTCTCATTGAATCTTTGAAAAGCAACTCTTGTGTTCAGCTCTGTCTGTGTACAGTAACAAAACTTTCTATAAATTTACGAGTGAAATGGTGATATCACTTAACATCTTCTTTAAAAAACGTGAACCGATGATATTATCTTTTAAAAGCAAAAGAAAAAATGGTGATATCATTTCAAAAGAATTATAATAATTACAGAGGTGTTTGAGAACTGTGCACTTTTTGAAAGTTTTTACTGGGTCACATAACATTGCATTGAGTCAATGACCTGATGTTATGCACACTTATACACTATTACAATGAGCCGTTTAGTACATGTACCGACCGGTACAATTAGGCTCCCAAAATTGTACAGAAATTCCTCTAGCCCAAACTTGTGGCTGCGGCTGTAAAGGGCACATCAGCTATGGAACCCACCAGCTACGGTACACAGTGGCTGTAGCCACTTCTCATAGACATTTGCGTTTCTTCTAAAAGCAGCTGCCTACGGATCAAAACCACTCCCTCTTTTGATCAGAGATGAGATTGGAAGAAAATAAAATACCAATCCGTGAAATGATCCCCACGGGTTTTGAGGGATCCACCAGTAAGGATCATAGGGACATTCCTGTTGGCGTAATTATACAGACATCCCTTAAAATACCCATTCCTTGGGCTCTTGCTGACTTTTAACTTACCAACACCTTAACACTAAACTCAAAATTTTCCAGATTTCAGAAGTCATTTTCAAAAATCCTGAAATCGAGAGAAATATGACAAATCTCAGCCTTGGACATAACGGAAATGCCGGGGATATTGAAAAATACAGCATTTTAAAATTGAAAACAGTTTTTAAACGGTAAATGTTGTACATTGAGTCAAAAATCAAAATTGCATCATTGTTTCTCAAACGTATCACAGACATCCATGTTTTCACAAAGCAGAGTGTACATGTAATTTTACAACTGGTGCTCTAAGAAGTCTTCAGCACCACAAAATAGTTCACCACACTTTGCTTCTAAATCACACAAAATGCATGAAATGGGGTCGATGAAAAGCCACGCGTGCTGCAAAGTACACAAGGCTTGTGTTGACAGCAAGTGAGTGCATAAGGCCAGTATCGATTGGTGGGTCATTCAATACCGATGAGGTGCTTAGCATCATCTCCAAGACAAAGTGGCTGTTTGGGAATGCACGCAGATATTGACCTATCGTCGTCTCTCCAGCCCGAGGTGTGAGATAGATGGCTTTTTCAGTGGAACAAACAACCTAAACACACTACTTTAAACTTGTCCGAAAATACTTGGCTCAAATCTCTGGAGAAATGTACTGTGACTTCATATTATCTTCTTCAGAGAAGTCACACTGCAAGCTCACCAAAAGAAAGTCGGACATGACAGGAATGACAAATGATTCCAAAAGCTGGGACTCCTGATCGCAACAATACAGTTAGGCATGAGTGTCAACATGGGACTCACACTATAAACATCAATCTTTTGTGGGAAAAACTAGATTTTGAAAATATCCAAGAGACCAATCTGTCTCTGAAAACACACTTTACTCCAAGTTGAAAGTTGAATTTAACCACTCTTAAGTACCAATCGGCACATGCTCTTATTAAATGATGCCTCTAGACTGTACCTATTTTCAAGTAATCGATAAGAATTAACTATTGATCTTTATCAAGCATATAAATGGTGCAGTATTTGTGAAAGCATAGTAATGTGAGGTTTGAAAAGGACATGAAAGGTCTTTTTTTAATGACCACCTGTAATGCTCCCATGAAAATGTCTTTGAAACAACAGATGGGACAGCAACTGTTCACATAATTCTTTGTCCACGGATCAAGTTCATATACATTTGAATGAAAGACTGATATAGTAAGCACTGAAATTACACACATTCACACATGTTCATGTATTGCATAAAAACAGATTTGTAGCCAAAATGACATTGTTTTGGTCGGCTAAGCTTCACTAGTACCACACAAATTGGCAACATGGAGGCTCTGAAAGAAATGGTTATTGTTTCACAAACTAAACATGCCGAAGTTGACATGAAGACACTGCTCAAAGCTGCAAACTTGGTCCAAAATTATTATACAGCTCTCATTCAAACTTAACCAACACACCCACCCTCACTCGAAGGTATTCATTATCTACTCTTTGGTGGACAGACACAATTTCTGACAAAGTAAGTACCTTGCCTGAGGACACACGCACCCAAGTGTGTATTTGCCTGCAACTGGGGACCCTAT